TGATGAAGGAGATCAATTGTTACTTCATCTTTACGGAAAGTCGGTGTAGGGATGGAAGTCTATAATCAATTCTTCCTAAAGGAACACTGGTGTGAAGGGTGAGGATAATTATTTCTTCATCATCAGAGGAAACTGGTGTGAAGACAAAGATCGTTTATATCTTCTTCAACAATGTAAACTGGTGTGAAAATTGCAGGTAATAGTTGCTTCTTCAAGTCAAACTGGTTTGGGAAGGACAGTCAATACTTAATTGATTTTCAAGGCAAAGTAATATAGAAACAAACTGGTGCTTAGATGGAGGCAGAAAGCCGCTTCATTCTCAAGGGTAACTGGTGTGAGGATGGCATGCATTAGCTGCTTCTTTAAGTGAAACTGGGGAGAAGGCAAAATAATATGGGTATGAAATCGGCAGTTGCTTCATCTTCAGGACAGACTTGTATGGCAATAGAGATCGTAAGTATCTTGATCCTAATTGGAAACGAATATGTGTAAGAAAATGGGCAATTTCTTCTTCCTCAAGGAAATCTGATGTGGAGGTGGAAACCACATTGGAAACTAGTTTTGGCATGGAGATCGATACTGGCTTCTTCAAGTTAAGCTAAAATGGTGTGGAAAAGGAGATCGATAGTTACTATTCATTTATTTTCAAGGCAAAATCATGTTTGGGTGAAGATTGACGTTTTATCTTCAAGACAGTCTGGTGTGAGGATTGTGAGGATGGGGTTAATAGTGACTTAAGGGACGCTGTTGTGGGTATGGATGGTGAGTGTCATCTACTGTGGTTGTAGGGACTGGGGTTTTTTTCAAGATAAACTGTTGTGAGGATGGAAATTGGTAGTGGAATCTTCAGGTGGCATTGGTTTGTAGATTTCACCTAGAAATTGCCTTCATTTTCAAGGAAGAATGGTCTGGGGATTAAAACTAGAAGTCGCTTTATCTTGATGGAAATTGCTGTTCGGATGGAGGATATTTACTTTATCCTTAAGTCCTACATCTGCGGGGATGGAAGATACTTTACCCACAACGAAAATTGGATTTTGGAATATCGGCTGATAGACACTTAAGACTCGGATAAAAATTGTGTCGGGTCGGAGAATCGAAGGTACTTCGTTCTTACAGAAAATTGGTATGGGTAACGGGGTAGATTGTCGCGGGAAACGGGTGTGGGGTTGGAGATAGGTAGTCACTTCATCCTTTAGGTAAGCTGATGTAGTGATGAAAGCTTGTTACTTCATCCATAGTCGCTACATCTTAAACAGAAACTGGTGTGAGGATAGAGGCTGATAGTTGCTTCATATTCAACGGAAACTGATAAGAGGATTGAGGCCTTACAGTTCCTTCGTCTTCAAGGAAATCAGGTCTGGAGAAGTTGTCTTCCACAAAAATGACTTCATATTCAAGGAAAACTGTTATGATAATTTAGGTTTATAGTTACCTTATGTTTAATGGAATTTGATGTGGGGATTGCGGCTTACAGTTGCTTTATCTCCATTGGAAGATGGTGTTGGGATCGAGGTTGATAGTCACATTATCTATGTTGGGATGTTAAGTTGCTTCACCCTGCAGCGTTTATATAAACGCTGGTAAACATGTTTAAATGAAAAGTATCCTTTTTATACTTTAATAATTGTAATTCCATATGAGATCATACATTTGAAAATTTCGACTTGAGACCCGGGGTATTTTTCACTGTGACAGAGAACAATCTAAAGTAAATCTCATTCACTAGGAACCTTTTAGTTAAACGTTGAACATGAAACTGCAAGCTGTAATTAATATACATTTAATAGAATTTGGGTTTATCTAGATCACTTCCACACCTTGAATGGTAATGAATTGGTTGGTCAGGACAGCACTAACGAAAGACTGTAGGGGGGACATATGATCCTCAGCAAACTGGACCGTAGGATTATCTAAGTAAATTGACAAACAAAGTATTTCTATTTACGATCGGGCTATTCAGTTTGTTGGGTAATTATGATGCCAACAGACAGAAAGTTTTTAGGAGCAAACATATCCATATTACGCCACTTATGATAAATAAATACTGGTTAAGACATTGTCAATACAAAAGTCTCGTCCATAAAACGCCATCTGATAGGATGGCAACCCGATACTAACCAATAATACTGTAATTACATCAACAGTACTGTGACACTAAATACTAGTATTTCATAATCTTCCTATTAATTTTGTAACAAATTTTCGAGCAAGTAGACTAGAGGTGAAATTTATATCATTAAGCATTCATTTCTCAGTGTATCGTGTTTTATTTTTTTTCAAATGTATTCAAACATGTATTAAATACAATTTTACATGCAGATTATCAAAATCTGTTTGCGATTAGAGGAATTAAATTTCTCAATTAGATAAAGTGTAATTTGAGTTGTCTACATATGCTAAGTGTCATTTACGCCTGGCGAGCTGTACAATGGAACTTAGGGATACATTACACCAATTATACCGAATTTATAGAGAAATTTTTAAAAATGATATCAATATTCTTTGTACTGGATGTTTAAAATGGCTTATCAGATAGAAAATTGTTTGGTTAAATTGAATGTAAATGTCTGTGTTATGTTATTTTCTTTGTTTTCATGTTTAGAGTAAAACTCGGTGCAATGTTTGAGGGAGTCCCAAGGATAATAATGGTACGACCTTGCGGTATTATTTCAGTATAATGGCACCTATGGACTAGTTCGAGGGGTTGGGTATTTTAGTGCAACTTTGAAAAAAACACTCCCAAATCATCCTTTATATTAATTCCTTTTCTCAAACAGAAAAAAGGGTTGTATTTGTTTACGGTGTGGTATTACTAAGAGGCGATCTACACTGAAGCTTTGTCACGAGGTAGCCAAAAATAATAATTCTACAAGCAAGGAATAAATTGTAATTATTTATTTAACTGCTTCTGATCAAACCAGTGGTCTATTTAAACGCGGCCTTGTAAATACTCATTTTGAACGTGTTCTTGTCGTGGAGCTAAAAACCTTGTAACTGGATCTACAAGCATAGATTATTTGTAGCTATGTTGTTGACAAAGTGCTGTCGCTGACACATACAAACAAACACCTACCCACTGGTCTGTTTACTCGTACAGATCGGGTTTCAAATCATCGAACCTCATGCAAACATTGATGACTAACAACTAATGGGCACAGATAAGGGGTTTTTTTTGTAATAAAGGGTTTAATTCATTTATGCCAATAGAGAACCGTTCAGTCTTGTTCAGTTTTTAAAAAATCTTTTTTTGTCGCATTTGAATCACTTACAACATAATTAAAGACCATGACAAGATCTTAAGTTCCAGAAAGATTAAAGGTACGAAGGCCTTACATGGCTTTGTTTTCGTAATTGATAATGATTAGTTTTCTGACATTGATAGATATATTATTTTCTTTGTCTGACAACATTGAATTCCAAGTCTTTATTGATTAATGTTCACCAATTTCCATTTTTCCATTTTCTTTTTTTCTTTTCTTTTTTTTTTGGGGGGGGTGGGGGAGCGATACCTTAAGTTGCCAATTAAAGGGTTGCAACTACGAAAGACATTTACGAAAATTATAAAAATAAATTCCCAAATTATTTCGTCCTTCAACAAGTAGAAACTGCTTGCACTTATATTAATCAAGGGCCTTCTCCAATAATATGACGATAATAGAAAATTTAGTTTTGTGCTTTATATTTTGCAACTATATAGTATTGGGACCAATTTAAATTACTGCAAAAATGTACAAATTTCAGCGGTGATCAATTTTAGCGCTTCTCGCACTGAAAATGTTACGTTAAATATCCTTTAAGTAATTGCAGTTTTTGGATGTTATTTATGTAGCAATTTTAGTGAATACACCATTAATCATTGCGCTTATTTCCCAAGAAGTGAAAATGTGCTGAACTTTGATTACGTTTACAGTATGTGGACAAAACGATACGATGAAATGGCTGGAAACATAAATAAACGTTTCAAGCTGCTTTATTCTGAAGTGTCAAGTTACTCTCTCAGTATCGAAGTGTAATATGTACCTTTCAATATTTCTTATTGTCGGCGAGTCTCTCATATTGTCTCTCCATGTCTCTTCTTTTGAATTATCCATAGCTTCAATATATATGTAAAACTTAGTATGTTGCTATTGCAAAGATCAGTTAAAATTATCTGAAAAACATTTGAGACAAAATGCTATTTCAGTGATAGTGTATACCCTTGATTACGGTAAGAAAACGAAGTTTGTCTGATTACATGCACAAAAATATGGCCATCAATTTGAACTGGAACTGGCGTTTCTGATTTCAAAAAATGAGGCCTGAACCAGACTTTGATAAAACTTGCAGTAATGCCTCACACCAAACGTCATCATATAAAACAAATACTAGACAAAACCCAGCCCTGCCCTATTTAATATTTTATGAGCCGCGATTCGTCAAATTACAAATTTGATAGACGATTGTCTAATGACATCTTCATTAACTATTTTATGAACGGCGATTCCAAAATTAAGAAATCATTACTAAAAGAGTCGGAATGAAAGCCCAGTCATATAACTTTATAAAGTTATTTCTTGAATGGAAAAATTCACAAGTAAGCATTTTTTACAACCCTGTAATCATTTAAATGACTTATAAATACAATTGAAGCTCTTTTTCAAACTTGTTGGGAACCTGACACTATTTACTTGCATAAACCAAGATTTCCATGGCGAGTGCTATAAATGAAGCAGGAGACGCTTAATCTTCCAGAACACTTTGTCTTATTTTCATAATCCTTTTTTTCAGGATTTTCCGTGTATATCTTTCTTTTATTCACGTTTTGCTCTAGTTTTACAGAATTTAAATTTAAATTATGGTCAATATTTTGTTGTTTTTCTTTCTTATCACACTTTTATTGGCTATATTTTTAAAAAATTATTGTGTAATTTCAGACACTTTGTTTTGTACCATCATGGATACAGAGCTTTACTCTAATTGTATTGGAATACCCTCTACCCTTCTTCAATGTGTTACAGTTGGTTCATCGGTGTGACTTTCTTAACCTGGAGCTGACCAGTCCGGACCCCGTTGCCCTGTCGAAGGAAGATCCCTTTGAGAACCTCCCTGACTTAGTATCACAACTACCTCGCCAGAGTTTTCACGTCGTTGTGTTTTCCTTGCTGCTTGAGTACCTTCCATCGACCATTCAGCGATGGACATGTTGTTGCAACGCTCATCAGCTCCTAGCAGGCAATGGATTGTTGGTTGTTGTGACCCCTGATTCTCACAAACAGCATCGGAATGCAGCGATGCTCAAGAGTTGGAGGCTTGCAATTGAGTCAATAGGATTTGTACGATGGCGATATGTGAAACTAGACCACATACATTGTTTGGCTTTCAGAAAACTTCATTTTGGAGAAGTAAGAGACAAAGAAGTGGCTACCGCATCCCCGGACATGTTGTATATACCTCAGGACTTTCACGAGGAGGACGAAGACAAGGTAGTGGAAGCTGTTGTACGCACGGATGAAGACAGTGAAAATATCTCTAAAACATTTGAGGAACTTCCAGCCTGTTTTGGTGTTGACGGTGATTAATAAAAACACATGTATTATGCAAAGAATTTTATTGTGTTACCGATTATTTTACAGATTGTGCGACATCTAAGTACACGAAATCGTTTTCCAGACATCATATTCACTGTCTTCGTTTCATTTGTACGTAGAAGTCCTACATAAGTGCTTAAAAACCTTTATAAAACTTGGTACATATTAAATAAAGGTATATGGTACACATATCCGATAATTACCCGAGGGTCTGAAAAGCGTCCAAAGAGTAATTCTGAATTTTCAATCTTTATCTTTCCTTCAGCAAGGTCATAGATTTTATACAAATGATCACCGTTTAATACAAATTTGTAATTAGATAGAGTAGAGCCAAGTTATGAATTGAGCTGCATTATACAGCTGAGCCAAACAGTGATACATATGGCATAAATTTTAAAGCCGAGGAGGCGACAAAAACCGGATTGGGAGGTGGACTAGCACCAAAATTCAATGAGTTTCAAAAATTTCATATTTCTGATAAATTTTCAGATTTTATTAGCTGCAGTAGCATATAAGATACGTACATCCTGACTGAAAACGACTATGGTGATAAGACTACGTGTGCCTGAAAGATAAGCTTCTTCTCATTCATGGATGACGTCTGGCTCGCAATGTTCCTAGAAATAAAATTGAGTTAGTGACAACGACAAAGATCATTTAAAATTCAGAGGCACAAAGCGAATTGCACTTTATATCGTAAATGTAAAAAGGATGTAAAGCAATGAAGTCAGGATGGCGAAAAAAAACTTTCATTTATTCTTGATAAAAAGAACTATCGTCTTGAATCGAAAAATTGAACAATGGCTATTTCGGTCAGCAAGTCTTCTTGATAACAAAAGCTGCTGACAAATCGTGCGATGAGAAACATTGACAAATATTAGATCAAACATGCTGGATCTATTTCAAGAGAACAAGACGAATATAGAAAACTTTATAAGGAGTGAAATTTGTTTACATACACGTTCTAGACTGTCAGCACTTTTTGTATCCACAATGAAGCACGTGTTACTCTACAGAATTAAAGTGTCTCTGCTTGCTAGCCATTATAGACTTATAAAAGATGTATTCTGATTTTCCGTATCGGGCCTGTTTCCTTTGCCCATCCTGATCTCCCACCGTTAATCGAAAGTGTATTCTCTTTATCACGGGGATGGTTTAAGTAATAATTTAACGTTTCCTTTCACAGACAGACACTGGAATATACTAAACAAATAAAAAATATTATTAAGGTTTGTATCGGCGGCAGCTATGTCAGGTTTCAGTGAAACATGGTAACCAATATCCGTTATGGTTCGGTGATTTTGTGTGATGAACAAGACCTGTTGTGGCTCATCTCTGAGAACGGTGTTAGTCATGCTCTAGAATGGATCCAGATTCTTAATTTGTAAAAACGGAAAAGCGACGGGTGCTAAAATTTTTTCACGATGCCGAATTGCGTTTGAATTGCTTTTAACAATGACAAATCTGGTTTGATTTCCACCGGATATGCCACCCTAGGTCATTATACGACCCCCACCAAATCAGTCACGCTGGGATACACATCAGTCTGTGAAGCCTTCCTTTATGACGTCGACATACTCGGTGCCTCCTATCATTGTACATCAAACAAAATTTCGACTCATCAGTGCACAAACATTTCTCTTCTGCCGTAAAAACCATCGTCATTGTCGCCGAACCTAGTCAAGGCGTTTGTTGCGATGGTGTCGCATAGGGTCGGGGCTGTGTAAGGCCTCCTCGCACACATTCGGTGATGTCTCAGCCTGTTACGGATGGTCTCGCTACTTACCGGTCGACCGAGCAAAGGCCTTGCTGTATCTGTTTCTTCCTGCAACCGTAGCCGTAGAAGCTGCAGCAGTATTCACAAGGGTGGTAACTCGTGGTTGGCCGCTCCTTTGAAGACTGGATGTTGAATCTGTTGCGTTAAAACGTTGTCATAAATGGCAGACCGTCTTTTAGCTACACTCTAACGGTCTTGAAACCTCGTGTTTTCTCTAATTGGGATGATGCCAATAGCCCTTTCCTCTCTTTTCTATACAATTTAAAACCAAAGTAGAGGTTTTCAGATTGCGCTCACAAACACACCACCAAACACACACCACCGCCACACACATCACCACCATACACACACACCACCACACACACACCACCACCACCAAACACACCACCACACACACATACACACACCATCGCCACCACACCCCACCGCCACACACACACCATCGCCACCACACACCATCAAACACACCACCAAACACGCACCACCACACACGTTACGTCATACGCCAAACCTTTGGTCACGAAATGCGTCTGTCTTATTGCATAACAATGTCTGTCCGTACTTATAGAGACGCCAGGCTCTGACCTCAAAATCCCCAAGTAAATCAACGTTGACAGTATTACTTCCTATCTAAATTACAGTAATTGTTAAATACAAAAAATATTAATATGTAAAAGAGACACATAAAATGAGGTCATATGACACGGAAGTTTGCAAAAGATAGCAAAACAAGGAAAAAATTATAGCAATTATTGGTGTATGAAAATAAAAACAACAATTTATAAACCTTGAAGTATGACAAGGAAAAGACAATATGATCAGACCAAGGACAATGTGTAAGGGGACAGCGTAAGTCAACAGGTACAAGTATGACACTAAAAGACAAATGTCATGAACCGGAGTAAAATAGTCCAGAAGTCAGTGCAGCCCGAAATTGGTAAGCATTTCAATAGAAAAAAAATCTTCTGAAAATCTAGCAAAATCGAGGTTAAAATTGATCATACATTTTTTTTTTTAATTTTTATTTCTTCGTCCATATTTAATACGAATAGTGCGATGAGTACGTAAAACTATTTACAACATACACCATAAGCTTTATAAGCTGAAGTCCAAATTAATTTGATAAACCTAAATACCGAAAAAATTATGAAATCATCTCGATTATGTAGTATTATGTTCGATATATCCGATCAAACATTTCACGCGCTTATGTTAATTTTAAGTCCGTTTCGTGATATCAACACATAGGGTCCTTAAAATCACCAAGAGTCTGATGGGGATGAAACAGCTTTACATTACAGCTCTATCCTTAATTCGGCACGTGCTATGTTCCAAAAGAAAATTAGTATCAGCTGTATATTGAAAGGTGATACTCACGTGCATTATTCTAATTTAAGATTTCGAAGAAAATATTCTTACTCATGAAAACTACGGACAAAGTTGGTAGAAAGCAGTAAGCTGAGTGCACACGTGGAGTAGACAGTAACAGAAGGGTCAGAAAGCGGAACGATTTGCATAAGGAATGATCTAATCGATTTCTTTCATGTGATACGAATTACACCAGACAGTTGGGCTTTATACAGACTATACGTAAAGTATAGATAACGATACTGAAGGTAAAAACAGTGCAATTAGATACGTAATTGTTAACCAAATGTAACATCAGTAATAAAAAGGTCAACTTAATTTTACGTTTTTATGTCGAACAGAGCGAATCTGCATCTAACGATTTCAGGTAGGGCATCAGTATTACAATGTGGTCTGTTACTTATATTTACCATAAAACATATAGTTTGAGTTTATCTAAGCTGTGTCCTCTCTCTACTACATGTAGCACAAGAGGTGTAAATGGCACTACATGTGTCTTGTGAAACAACCACTGAACAAAAATGTCCAAAATAATTACAAACGTTAAAAATGTTTCGCTGTCCAAACCGAAAAAAGTTACATAGTTAAGGGAAAAATAATGGACATATCCAAGTACCATTGCGGACAAGTTTGGACCAATGGAAATGTGTTCAATACCGGAAATAGCAAGGGTTGGGTTTGGCGGCAAAAAAAGCGCCAAAATGGTGGGGAACGAGAGAGGAGGCAACGATAAACTGTGGTGGACAGTAATGAAGTTAAACATTATGGCTGAGCTGAGTAAATCCATCAGTGAAAGTAAATATTCGAAAATTGGTAGACGTGAAGTCGTTATGGTACTTGTTACTTTCAACATCAGAACTTTATTCTTTACTAATATATTATCGAAATATGTAAGTTGCCTTTTTGGATGACAAGAAACCATAAACGTGTGCTTACTTTCCGTGTGACTATTTCAAAATACTCATAATTCGTGAGAATCCATATCGAAACTTTACAAAATTTCTTCTACTTGTGAGTCAAATAATAAATTTATGATTTGACAGTGACCCGTGTTTTTTTATCGTGTTGATACTTTTAAAAATTGGCTGACATTAACAACATATATGGTACTGATACAGTTATAAATCTCACAGAAATACATTGGTATCACGAGTGTCTAGATATACTTGATTAGCGTGTAGATACCGATACCAACAGGACGTGTTTAAACTAAAACACGGACTACTTTCTTTTATTACGTGGGTTTACCGAGTCCCCAGATGACCTTGTGGCTCGGTGTCTGAGGCCAGATACAACATTTGTTTATCAATTTTGTACGAATGACATATTGTTTGTTTAAGCCAAGCCATTCTTGATAACAGATGTTGAAATACAAACAGTTCTGTCACTCACCGCTTTGGGATACAAAACACGTCAACACAAGGTCTAAATAAACTTAATGTTTACATAACGTCTTACTGTCTTCGTTCTAATATTGCTTAAATTGTGAATTGCTATTTAGACAAGTTTTTTTCCAGTAAATTTACATTTTGAGTGTATAGACTGTAGTATTAGATTTCATATAAACACATGTTAAACGCCGAAGCGACTGTTTATCTTTCCGTATTACGTTTGTACTTGTGAATATGTTTTCGTTGACATAATACCAAAAATAGTGTTCTGGTTTTTTAAAGGGTGTTTTAATCCTTTGTCAAGAGAAACACACACATTGTTTTGTTTTCTTGTACACAGTGCGAGAACAAACACGTAATATTTGTTTAACTTCCAATTAACAAAGTATTAATATATATTTGCAGAAATTCAACCCAGACGTTACATATTCTGAAGGTTAGAGCAAATTTCGTTCAAGTCTCGCCATTTTGTTTTATATTT